CTTGGAGCAATGTTATACTCTTGAATGATATGTCTCAATCCACCCTTCCCATCATAAATGATTGGGGTATTCATAGAGGTGGGAATGTGTGCCTTTTAGAGTTAGTGCCCTAAAAAGGTGGAACTTGATTGGCGGCGCAATCAAAGTAGGGCACGTGTCCTATTAGGGCGTCGTTATGGCGCCTTTCTCGGGATTTGGGCCTCCTGATGTAAGGAGGCCTTCTCTCATTCAAGTGCTCTTAGGTTTACCACGTGTCATCTTCCTATAGGGACACGTTTCGCCCTTTTATTTGGCCATGAATATTTTTTTACCCTAAACACAAGATGTCTCCATCATCACAGGCTAGTAGACAACCCGGGTCTTGTGGTTGAATATGACTTTCGGGATGATACTAACCAAGATTAAAATAACTATGTAGAATACTTTTGCCCCCTGTATGATACCTCAGATGTTTCTTTTCTTTTCAAATTACTATCAACAGATAACTCTCTTTGGTAAGAGACTTACCGTGTCATTTAATGAAGCAGAAACAGTCTTTTCCTAGGTCAAGATTGTTTCCTTTTCTCAACCTTTATAGATTGCTCATGTTCTTGTTTTTTGCACAACTCGGAGGTAATTTAAATACCTTATGAGTTATGATAGTTGATTTGTGCATTTATAATTCTGGATAAAACTTTTCGTTTAATGACTGAGAAGTGAAAAGATTCTCACATGGGAAACCAAGTGATAAGTTGTTTGTGGCTAAACCGCTAATCAATGGTTCATGTTTTTGGGTTGGATTGTACCTCTACTCACTTTTTGTGGTAGGCCAACTTCATCAACTCCTATAAGATCAACAACTACGTATACCTTTGGTAAGAAAATTTATTTATATATTTGAAGTATTTATGTGTCAGTAGTTCGGTACTTAGTGGCTTCTCAAAATCTCTTCAAATAAAAAAACTCTACAAATATTTGTAGTACATTGGTTCAATTAAAAAGAAGAAAAACATTTATCCTATATTATTAGATCACAAAGTAGCAAGCAGGGCAGCTGCTACGAGTCTTGTCACCCACCTACTCCACGAGTATCCTTGCTGATAAAATGGCATTCATTTGTTCTGTTTTCAAGGTAGCATGACACACAATTAGTCAGAAGAAGAAATAATATGTTTATCAGTAAGAAAATGAAATAAGAAAAGAAAAGGATTATTATCAAGATTTTACCAAATCTGGAGATGGCGCTGGTGATAAATCATCTGAAGTATCCGTAACCTCTGTAGGAGGTGCGGGCGGACTTGGTGGTATTGGGGCTGTTGCTGGTGCTGGTGTACGATGATGCTTGTGTTTATGCTTGTTCTTCTTCTTTTTCTTCCCCTCAGATGGTGCTGGTGCTGGTGCAGTTGAGGGCCCGTTAACTGGTGCCAAACTTGGTGATGTAGTCACTGGTGCTGGTGTAGGAGCTGGTTTTGTGGGTGCTGGTGCAGGAGTTGGTTTTGTGGGTGCTGGTGCAGGAGCTGGCTTTGTGGATGCTGGTGCAGGTGCCTTCTTTATTGGGGCTGGTGCTGGTGATACCTTTGGTGGGGGTGATGCAGGGGCTGGTGGTGTAGCTCACTGGTGGCTGGGCTGGTGGTTGAGTTGGCGGTTGAACTGGTGGTGGCGTCTGGGTTATTGGTGCCGGTGGTAGTGATGGTGTTTGTACAGGTGAACTAATCGAAGGAGGTGGGCTTTGAGGTGGGGGAGTAGTTGGGCTTGAGACTGGTGGAGGTGATGAGGGTTGTGAAGGTGCTGAAGTTGACAGGGTTGGTGATGAAGGTTATTTTAGGTTGTTGAAACTGAAACACCCTAATCAAACACAAATTTATAAACCTAAACCTAAGCACTAAACACAAGCCTAATGGTAAGACAAGAGTCGATCCTAGGGAGAAGCTAAAACACCACGTTCACTACCAACAATTAAGATATCTCGGAAAAAGAAACAAGTTATCTAAAGATACTAAAACAAGGAACACATTGAACTAGAAGCAAGGTAAAGCACTAAGGAATTGGACTAGGTAAGCATTCACTCAAGCATAACAAGGTATGAAATCAAATTTGAATGTGAACTAAGCATCTCATATTAATGATTTTAAAACACAATCCAACCACATATCGGGGTCAATTGCTTTCTTAATTCAACCAATAACCTACACTATCGTCATAGGCTACGCAAATCAAGTTACAATTCAAACCAAATCATTCAATGTAAATTCCTAAGTCACACTATCGCCATAACCTAGTTCAATCTACCTAATTACAACTAATGATTGGCCACTCAAGAAAAACAATTAGTAAGATATGGAGTACAAAGCATTTCAATAACAATCAAATCAATTTCTAACCTAAAACATGCTTGAGATCCAACTATACCATCACCATCCCCTTAGTAAGGGGAACTACTCACAAATAATGTTAATAGCAAAATCAATCGTCAAATCAACAAGCATCAACATGATTAATAAGAAAACAAGAAGATTCAAACTAAGGAAATCAAAATTAAATGAAAAAGTAAAGAGAAAAGAGTAAGAGATTGCTCATTGATTGAAGAATGAATGTTTACAAGCAAGATGATCTTCCTCTTCAAAATCCAAGCATCAACAATGGTGAAAATCACACTTTCTCTCTCTACAAAGTTAAGCTAAGAATGTTTCTCACTCTTGATTAAACTAAGAAAACTAGATTATGCTCAGCTAATACAAGATAATGAAAAACCTCCTAAAAAGAGAATTAAATAGTCCGTACAAGAGCTGCTGAAATCGGGAAAAGGTTTGACCGAACCCTGGGTAGGTTCGGTCGAAACTCTGGGTAAGTTCGACCGAATTCCCCTGCTCCTGGTTTGGTTGAACTTTTGGAAGTACTACCCTTCCTACAAAAATGAGAAAAACTTGTTCGAATCTGCCTCATATGGTTGTTCGGTCGAACTTTTCAAAAGTTTGACCAAAACTTCTTGGTTCGACCAAACTTTTGAAAAGTTTGGTCAAACCTCCTCTCCAAACGTCTCTTCTAGCTTTCCCTCCTTCCCTTTGCTTCTATTGCCTTCATCCATGCTTCCAAGCTTGGCCAAGGGGCCTCCCACCATGCTCGAGATCGCCATGGAACCTGCAAAAAGACAACAAAGATCATGAGAGCGAGGGGATGACAAAAGAATGCATAAAGATCATTAAAATAAGCACAAATAAGCACACTTTTCATCAAACACATAAGGAAGCCACAAGAGGAGAAATGAGATAGAAAACCATAAGAAAATAAGAGGAAAAAGATTGAAACACTACTCCTAAGAGTGACATATACAAATGTCACTCATTAGTTGGAAGAAGGCAAAGGTGCTGCCGGTGATGCATTAGTTGGAGACATTGCTGGCGCTTGTGCTTTTGCGAGTACTACGGCAAGGAAGATGCCATATAGCATGCAAACACACCTTAAATTAGCCATTTTTCGTGCAATAATGTGTCAAGAGCCAGAAAATGTAGTTGATTATATAGATTGCAAAAGGATGAACTTCTAAGAAATGTAAGCCAGTTGGTAAAGAGAGGGAGAGGTAAACTTCAGATGCTAGTTACACATCTCATCTACTGATTTTGGCAGATGTGGTTTTTAAGTTTACGAAAGAATGTTTGCCACCTTTAAACTGAGGTTAAATTTGGATCAATAAAAACCAACTGGCCATACAAATCTGGGGGTTTTATGCAGTGACGAAGGTTGTTTCTCTGATTTGGATGTGTGATTTATGTGTACTCCGTATATATGAACTTAGCGCTGGGAATCAGATCGATCAGACCATATTTGGACATGTCAATTCCAATCGGGACCGTTTTCGGATCGAGTTATAATCGGACCAGGTTCGGATCGGTCCAGATCATTTTCGAATTGAGACATTTTCGGATCATTGCGCGATCGGATCGGATCTTATTTCGGATTGTGAGTCCGGATCATCATCGGATAAGGATTTTTGTGGGCGAAGATTTGTGGGTCGGGTAATTTCGGATTGAATCAAATCGGAACTAGTTATAATTTTAGACTTTTTAAACACGATTGTCATTTGTGAATTAGTTTATTTTATTTGCAATAAGTATTAAATCATTTGAATTATCAATTATTTATTATTAACTATTTTGAACATTATTAATCTAGTACTTTTTTCAAAGTTTGACCGTTTTGACCGTATTCAAACTTTTTTCGAATAGCCGGATCGGGCGGGTTCGAATTGGGATGGTTTCGGATCCGACGGGTTTGGGTCGGACCGCTCGAGTTACAGATTGGCTTCGAACCAAGTTGGTTTTGGATCGGATTCGGACTAAAACCGAATCATTTAGCGTTCATATCAAGTTTTGGACCACCAGTTTTATTCCGAGATCGGACCGCGGATCGGATTTTCAGATCCAGACCAACTTTGATAGCTTTATATGAACTTCATTATTCTCAATTTTGCTTGTATGATTGTTGTTGGTGCAAATCAATGTTACTACATAACTAATGTTGCTTACATCTTAATTCTTAGGCTAATTCATCACTATGAGATGCTTGTTTTTGATGATGACTCCTTAACAAACATTACCAGTAGCGAATTTATAAAATATTTCATTTAGTAAACCTGTTTGTTGATTAAACGATTAACATATACATGATAAATGTGTGGTGAAGAACAGTGAACGCCTATCAAAGTTATCAGAGTGACAATAGTACTTCAAAATGGATAAATTATCATCTATGCTTCATCTCCATTTATCATTTTTCACATTATGTTCTTTGTCACCACTCTCTCTTCCCTCATTTTCTTTGAGATATTAGCCGAATAGAGTAGCAGAACTGAACAAAGACACCTTCAACTCAATCATCAACCATTTTTGAAGAGATTTAAGTTGCCAAAACCTGAGAAATTTTCAACCTTACACCATTAGTTTGTGCTAATTTCCCAGGATTATGAGCCGAGTTGTTTGCTGCTATATATACTGCTATAATTTAAAGGGAAAATAATCTTACTTTAGGTAAAAATGCACAACACCCATCACAAATTAACATTGTATTAATACTCCGCATAAAGTACAATTGTCTTTGCTATATTTCATCCCTTAAATTTACCACCTGCTACAAAAAAAATGTTGATACCATACTTTTCCCTTCAAATAGGATTTTATTTCAAATATTTTGATGCAGCAACCTTGCTAACTTTAGCCTATATCATTCCTCATTTAAGTTGTATCTTTCTCAGCTCAGCCTTTCATGGACAGCACCTACGGAAAAATCCTCTTTCAGCTGAGCACCTAAGGATTTCGTTTGGAAGACCACCTAAAAATTGTGCTTGAAAGAATTGTCCGTCTTCAGTTGTTGGTTTGTAAATTTTGATGAAGCAGAAACTCTACTTAGCATGTTTGTTTCGTGATGACAATGATTTTGAGCGTTTCGTACTGTGACGCGGCTTCATTTTTGCTCTATCAACAACTATCATCCACCCATTTATAATCTGCAATATACCAGCAAAGAGTGTTAGCCTATGTCTTACGAATCTTCTTTTTTTTTTTTTTTTTTTTTTTTTTTTTTTTTTTAATTATAAAAAAAAACGCAAATTAACACGAAATCTTGATGACGATGCCTCAATGTGAGCCTACTTTGCCATTCATCTCTTGTAGAGCCGCGGTAGCAGCATCCTCAGTGGTGTACTCAACAAATGCATATCCCTTCGACCTCTTAGAGATCTTATCCATGATAACCTTAACTGCAGAGAATATTTACAAGCAATTAGCATTATAACATAGCAGCTGAACGTAGAGATCAAAGAGTTCACATAACGAGAGTTTAGAAGAAAGTATCATTTGGAAGACAGAACGTACCTAAGTACCTTCTTTTAATTCCCCAAAGGATTCAAAGGCTGCACGTAATGTCTTTTCGAGTTTTCGGAAGTATAGAATAACAGACCTGAAAAAAAAAAAAAAAAAAAAAAAAAAAAAAAAAAAAAAAAAACTCTACTCAGCAATATGCAATAATAACCAGTGCTTTGAGCATTGGTGAACCAGGCAAGTAATATCAAACACAGGTTTCCAGCTTGGGAGTTCACTGTTGTGTTCGATGGAACTCTTCAACCCATCCACACAAACAGACATTCAGGCAGATAAATCAAAGTACTACCTCTGTCCACGATTAGCTGTCATATTGTTCTAACCTCTATTTAGGATTTGACACGATTTTACAAGAATATTATTAATAATAATGATGCTATGTTAAATGCTCACACAATCAATCAACGGCAAATAGGAAATCCAATAATAAAACTTACTGTTACAGGAAGACTAACAACTTTGTTCCAACCACCCTATAATAAGTAGAGCTACAAGTGAGTAATGTGGCTATCAGATTCAGAGAGAAGTACGTTCAATAGATCAAGCAATACGATTTCACCTCTTTTAGTGGGGAGGGGTAGAAATGTAGGAGCAATTTAGTCAACCAGGTATGGTGACTGAGATAAGATCATAACTAGAGGGAGAAGACATCAGAGGAGTGGAAAAAAGGATCCCCTGCCTCCTATGGATCACTGGATTAGATTAATGGCTTGAAAGATCAATGAATTGAAAAAGTGAAATCAAGGGTATTATAAGTAATAATTGTGTTCAACTTCCATCACAATTGAACCCACATGATTCTTCTTGTAATTAAACTGGCAGTTGCTTTGTTGGGTAAATTCCAAGGTGCGCTCACTCCCTGATATATAAATCCTCTGTTGAATAGATATTATATTACTATGGTACGTAATACTTCTATTATACTGTGATACTGAGGGATCTTAATATGAAGTATACTATAGCAAAGCGATAATTTGAAAAAGGAAAAAAAAAAAAAGAAGTCAGAAAGCTAATAAGTATGCTTAATTACCTGCTATGAAAAGCTTGGTTTTGCTGATATCTGTTGTTTGGGTGGATTCTGAAGCATTAGAAGACAATCTGTTACCTGCAACAGAGCAACCAATATCTTTATAGTCATGCATATAAGGAGAAGCTTGACTAGTGGCAGGCATTAATCTGGTCGCAAAGACAACAAATTCACCATCCTTTCAAACATATGGTCTGAGTCTTTTTTCTCAACAATTTTTTTTTTTAAAAAGAAAAAACACAAGCAGAAAAGAAACCAATAACTTGTTATACGGCAATGACTGCATATGCCAGGGAAAAAAGAAATGAATTTTAATATTCTCGAACATTAATTCTCAAACAAGCAAGCATAAGACTATGATGCAGATCCTACTGAGAACTCGTAGAAAATTGTTGAAGTTGTGCTGGATATGACAATGAGGTAGGAGTTATTACCCCAAAAAGATAATGGTCAGCGCAGCAGGGCTGGACAATGTTAATGAAAAGAATGACCAAAACACCAATACCATACTCCACAATGTTAATGAAACCTAATAATGGTTATTCACTTTCTTCTATTACATGAAAACATCAATGAACATCTAATATTCTAATGCCAACTGACAAGCAGAACAGATCTACACGCACTGTGTAGTGTGTACAACCAATTAGCTTGTCTAAGAATCATACATGAGGCCTGGTAGAAGATTGTATCGTAAAAACATCATCCAAAGTCACAAACATACACTTCATACATACTAAGATCAAGTTTTGTACCAAGCATATACATAAGCTTAGCTAGTAATTAAAAAGAAAATATGTCACAAAACTCCATAATCCTTATTATCTGACTCAAAATGCTCATATGGCTGAACAGATAAAACTCCAGGCAAAGCTAGTAATTCTTCTTGCTTAACAACTTTTTCTTTCTCAACTTTCTTATCCTCACTCATACCCTCTTCTCCTCCATTCTTTTCCTCACTAATTTTCTGTTTTGGACCTTCATATGATGCTCCCGATCTCAATGTGATTTCTTTGAAAGAGTCGGTTTTAATGTTGTGAGATGGGTTAGGATTTGGTTGTCCGGGTAGAGTAGAAGGTGAATTGAAGGATGCTCTTTCGGCCAATTGGGAGTCAACCATTTTGTTATGAGCCTTGACCTCTTGCATTTGTTGACTTTGGGTTTGAATTTGGTTTTTAAGTTGTTAGCTAAAGTTTTGTAGTTGCTGGGTCATGGCTTGGAGGAGTTGGGTTGGTGTTTGATCCACTTGTGGTGCTTGGTCTTGATGCCTTTGGGAGACTTGGTTTTTATTGTTGTATTAGTTTTGGTTGTTGTATTGGTTGTTTCTAGGGTAGTTTCCTCTTGGGTTTTGATTTTGAAGTGGAGGTGGGTTTTGGAATTGAGGGTTAGTGTTGAAAGATAGTTGGTTTTGTTGGTCCCATTGTTGGGGTTGAGGTGCAAAACCGGGAGGTAGTTGCCTCCAAGCTAAGCAACTCAAACTCCATTGCCCTTAAAACCATCTTGCCTCGAGTTAAATGCCGCCACATACTCGGGGCTCATACCCCCACAATATAATGTATCATGATTGGTTCCTCCACATATCTCACAAGAGAAAGCATTGACTTGCGAGGAGCTTGAGCCACCATTAACACTTGTATTTAACTTGGAAAGCCCTTTTGTCAAAAGCTCAATTTGATGTTGCAATTGGTTAATCTTCTCCAATTCATACTTCCCACCTTTCTTGGGTGTGTTCCTCCTTCTACCACCATAAGAGTAATTCTTAGCTACCTCTTCGATTGTTACTTCAACTTGATTTTGGGGTATCTTGATCAATTGTCCACCCGTCCCCGCATCCAAGTTTGCTCTAGACATAGGTTCCAAACCATCATAGAAGAATCACATGACTAAGCTTTGATTGTATTTATGGTGAGGACATGCTTGTACCAACTCTTTGAACCTTTCCCAAGCTTCACTAAGGCTCTCATCCGCTTCTTGCTCAAATGATGCAATCTTTCTCCTCATTTCGGCGATCTTTTCTTCGGAGATGAACCTCTTCAAGAATGCCTTAACTGCCTCCCTCCATGTTGTGAGAGAATTAGGCTTGACTTGCTTAAGCCATTTCTTGGCTCTACCCGAGAGAGATTGCCGAAATAAGTGCATACGGATGTACTCTTGAGAAACTCGATTAGTTTGAATCATAGCACAAAGCTCAAGAAATCTATCAAGGTGCTCTATTGGATCTTCACTTGGTGAACCCGGGAATCGCTCCGCTTGTACCATCCTTGTATATTGGGGATGGATTGTAAAATTGGTTTCCGTGACGGGTAACAAGAGTTCATAGTCCTTCGGGTTTCCGAACTCACGAAACAAATGTCCTCTTCTTGTGCCGCCATTGCCTCACTTTGAGAACTTGAAGACCAAGAATCACTTTCACTCAACAATACCACCAAGGCCCCAGGACTCTTCTTGATATAGCTTTCGGACTTGTCTTAATGTACGGTTGATTTTGTGATCAATGTAATGTGTAGGTGATCTTTGGGACCTTCTTTGCATTCACCAAAGCTAAACAAACAATTAGCAATGACTAGCAAGAGAGTAAATGAACAAAAGTAAAAGCTTCCAATAATATCACAATAAAAGTGCAAAACTACCCATCTCCTCGGCAACGGCGCCAAAAATCTGATGGTCGGATAATAGGTAGTTAGATACTACCCTAAATCAAATCAAAATATTTATATTCTTACACATATACTACCGAGATAGTGTTAAGAAAAGGTGGGTCGAACCACTAAGGAAACGGGAGGATTGCACAATTAAAGCAAGATCACGAATCTATTGCGAGAAGGAAAGGGGAGATTTGATGTTTTTGTTGTTTTTGATGAGAGAAATAAAGCTACTACAATTATGAAAGCAACTAAATGCATTAAAATTAACTAAATGAACTAAAAGGAACAAGGAATTCTAGATTAAGATAATATGACCAAATCACTAGGGAGAGGGGGTTCAAAGCATGATCAAACTAAGGAAACCATGATAATCAACATGAATAAATGCCAATGAACATTAATCCTACCCAAACAACTCATTTCCATGCAACTGTTCAAGCAAATTGATGAAATAGATTAAGATCTAAACTAGATCATTCCCATGCATCTAATTTAGAAATCAAATAATGGAATTAAAGGTGCACAACAATAATTCCAAACAATCTAAGCACAAATCATCAATTCAAAGCAATATCCAATCAATAATCATCACTCACTACTCTAATCGTGATCTTCACCCCCTTCCCTAGCTAGAAATCTAAGCTAGAAAGGAGAAAATAGCCATCAAAACTACACTAAGCATGAATTCAATAATAACCAAATCAAACATGATTCTAAGTTAAAGAAAATCAATCAAACAAGTAAAATCAAGAAAATAGATGAAAATCAACACAATAAAAAAGCAATCAAAACTAAATAAAAAGGAAAGAGATAAGAGATTACTAATACGAAGCTTGATTAATGAAGAAAACTCAAAAATACTTGCATTAGATTGAAGAAAACTTGAAGTAATCTTGAGTACAATGAAGAAACTTGGAGAATAAGCAACTTTCTCTCTCTAAAATCTGAAATGTTTCTCTCCTTACAATCCTCTAATAACCCTTTATTTAATACTTGATAAAACTTGATCCTCCAAAAATTCAAGAAAAAGAGCTATTTATAGTGCTTAATAATTCCGGAAATAACGAACTATGCCGCGCCTTCTCTTGACCGCACCCCGCCCTCTTTAATCTGGGTACGGAAATGGAACCTCAAAGACCGCGCTTGCGGTGACTGAAGGAGAGGCTTCTCTCGATAAAAGAGAGGTTGCGGTGCAGGAACAGAGGAAAGTAGGTGATCAGAGGACCGCACCCGCGCTCACAAGTGTCGCGCTTGCGGTGAGTGGTAGAGAGCCCTCTCTCAAGGTGCGGCCTGCTATCTCCAGATTGCTCGAAAGTTTGCCAAAGCTTCTCGTTGCGCCCGCGGTCTTCACCTCCGCGCCCACGGCTTGTGGGATTGCGTCGCGCCCTCTCCAAACTGCCATCTCTCCCTCTTCTTAATCATCATAGCTCGTCTTCCTTCTTCCAAGAGCACTAAAAATCTACAAAACAAATACAAAAATGCTAGAAAACACAAGAAGAGACAAAAAAAGAGGAAAAACACATGCAAGAGGAAGCAAAAATAACCCAAATAAAGGATAAAATCAACTAGAGAGGGCACAAACAAGTGACAAATGAGGGTAAATCTTCCCTAAAGAGGGTTAAAATAGTGGCATAAATGCCACTTCATCAAAATCCCTCACACTTGGCTCTTGATTGTCCTCAAGCAAGACTAGAGAGAAAAAGAGAAAAAGTGAACTTGATAAACCAAAAGAAGAAAAGAAAGAAAGAAAAAAAAATGAAAAGCAAACACTAAAAGAAAAATTAACTATGACAAACATAACATGGCAAG